ACTACTAGCACAAATGAAAGCTCCCACTGGCTTCTGTTTGCAAGTTTGCAAATTAATAACATCACTGACCAAAAAGGGGGGTGAACATTGTAGAACGCAGTGTGTTGTCATGTCAGCAGGTCATTGTGATTGGCGTTGGATGTACATTGCAGGACATTATGTTTCTATTGTTAATTTTTTTTATTTTAATAAAGGGCTTGTTCACACATGCTGCTGAGAAGGGAAGGGAAGTACAGTACAGCTGCTGCACATGACCCATTCAAGTGAATGAGGCAGTACCAAAACGCCTTGCAACATCATGTTTGTGGTGCAGTGGTGTGGGCTTTTGAGGGATAAAACAGACAGCGAAGAGGCAAAATATCTCCCCGCTGCATGTCAACCATGGTTTGCGTTTCAGAGGGGTGGTGAGGGTTACTGCCAGTTTAAATGAGCCCTTTACTTTTTTGTGAATGATTAAAACGGGTTCTTTGTACACCTGCGGGGATGGCCAATATTTGGGGGGCCTCCTATTCTAAACAGGCTTCCAGATCCTGCACTCCCTCACATGATTTTTGGGGGAGCAACATGTGGACAAGGGGACAAGGTACCTTGCAGAGTGCTCTCCCTCCCCTTGCAAGGTACCCTCCTAATGCCAAACTACAAATAGGTTTGGTTCAGGTTGAACTCATATATTTGATGTGAATTTACAATATATATGTAAAGAGCTGCATAAAATTGACAGCACTATATAAGTACCTATAATAAATAAAATAAACAAATAAATAATTATCCCAAACCTGAAGCTCATAACTAGCCTAGTGCCTTTTAAACCAAGTTATAGATCTTTGTCACGGGATACAAGTAGTTGATAAAGAACACCTTTTATGTAAAACCCAGCCTTGTGAATCTTGAAACATTCAATTCTTGAGACTGGGCCACAGAGGATCTGATTTTGCTCATGGTAATTTTGGAGCCTGTACATTTGGCATCTAAAAACTATCCTGATAGGTCTCCATCTATCCTTGCTATCCTCTTTTGCTTACCCCTTGTACTTAAAATGAATTAGCCTCTTTGGGACCCTGTTGTCTTATGATGTTTTATAAATTCAGAACACAAACGTTAATACATCTGATCTGCAGTGTAACCAATGGGCATAAGATGACTTACGACTGCAGCTTGTAATTATGAGTCAGCTACTCCAAATGTAGTTATCTTATAAAAAAAAATAAAAATAAAAAAAAAAAACAAATTCAAAACTCAAATGTAAATATATCTGCAGTTTAACCGATCGGCATAAGATAACTTATGACTGCAGCATGTAATTATGAGGCAGCTACTCCAAATGTAGTTATCTTTTAAAATAAATGAATAAATAAATTTCATATATATATATATATATATATATATATATATATATATATATATAGATAGATAAAATAATAATATACTGTATATCTATATCTTGTGCCATGCACACAAACATACATGTTTTGAAAGCCAAAACCACTGTTAGGAGGGGCAGACAGGATGTTCATGCTCTAACCACTCTAATGCAAACATTAGCTGCCTACAGGGCATGCAATGTCACCAAGAACATTCTCATTGCAGCGGCTCAGTCAACCTGAAACATATTTCCTTAGCCTGTAATCCTTAATAGTAGGAAATAAATCTGCACTATTATGTTATATTATTGTGTATAAGCTTGTAATGTCATAACTGCTGTGTTTTAATATTTCTTTTGTTCTACACGCTTGGTTGACATTAGATAAATTACATTTCTGTAATTGCACATATGTTCTTGTGGGAAATACAGCAAAGAAAAAAAAAATCTGTTTTTATCTAGTCCACTGGGGGGTGCACATGTATCAAGCATTTCATGTCAAATGTGTTTGTTGCCAAGTTTCATCATAGCCAGAAATAGATTATTGAATAAATATTTTGCTTTATAAGAGCTGGCCTTTACTGTTGACAGCAATTTATATCACTGTATGGCTTCTAGAGGCAGTAAAAGTCACTGAGCCTTTAACCTCGCTATAGAGAGCTGCTGAGTGCTAGTATAAAGCTCATAAACAGGGCTGATCAGGTAACAGCACATGTAATCTGTAGACCTTTATGTAATATCATTCTCAGCTGCAGTGAAATGGTCTATAGCCCACACTTCAGAAGCCTGGCAGTGTCACACAATGATTAATTAATAATATCCTGTTCCCACGTGTACACTGTGGATTATGCTGACAGAATTACATGAATGACTTGAAGCACTGCAAATAATGTATTGAAGCCGCATATTGATAGAGCTTTAGAAAATCAAAATGCTTTCCTTCAGTTAAGGAGAAGAAGCAGTTTTCAGGCTTCTGTGCGAGACCTTGGGCTGTCATGCAAGCTGATTTAATGCATCATATTTTCACACACGCTAGAACGTTTGATCTATTCTCTTGTTGTAAAAAAATGTTCTGTGGTTTCAAATGGATAGCTTAGAATTACAGAGTAAAGCTATGTAATGAACCAGGTTATCCACCTTATTGAATAGCATGGATGAGCGGGTGAGTCTGGATTCAGTTTGTTGAAAATTTGGTGGACCTTGCAAGAAAATTGCAAGCTTAGTGGTTATAAAGGCAGAAGGTTTTTTACCTTCTATGCATGAAAGTAAAAAACCTTCTGCATGCAGCTCCCCCCAGCCCCCTCCAGCCCTACCTTTTAATTACCTATGTAATAGCAGCAGGAGTATCTTAGAGCCGGTTAGGAGAGAGTACATGTGAGTGCCCCCAGAGCAAGAAGCAAGAGTGCCAGCCAGAGAACAGAGAAAAGGAGGATTCAGGCTGCTCTGTGCAAATCCATTCCACAGAGCAGGCAAGTATGACTTGTTTGTTATTCTTAAATAATAAAAAGTTTACCTTTACAATCACTTTAAACCCATAGAATACTAAAGTCTATAGTGGCAAATATGAATATTCAGTTCTATGCATTTTCAAGGCTAATAGGGAAGGGATTGTCAGAAAAGGGGCAGGGGAGCTGGTAACTGCCATGGGAGACATGTACCAATACTAAAATAAGAAATGGAAAAAATATTAAAAAACACTGCATTAAAAGTAGAGGGTCCTCCTGTTAATGCAACCTCAAAGGCAACAAAGGAAAATAAAAGTACAATTCTCAAGACATCGGACTGCATTCTAGCATTACATATTTTGCATGTGTATTTTATATTTTCACTTTCACATTATTGCTTGGCCATAATACAGCAGCAGCACCCCTCTCTACTCCATTACAATGTAAAAAAAAAGGATTTATTAAGTAGTTATTGCTGCAACACCTGGCTTTTTTAGCCAGTGGTGATAGGCCTGAATTTAATTGTGTAAGTAGCAGCTGCAACAATTCTAAAAGCTTTTGGAAAGTGTACTCTTTTTTTGTAATTCCTTTATTTTAACAAAGGTTACACAGTTTACAGATATGGGATCAATAGATACATAACAGAGTATTGTACATTAGAAAAAAATGCCATGTCATGGATAATTGCATTAATTGTCAAACACTGAGAAAACTTAATTCCAAAGAACAGTATGATACTGGAGTGTAATCTGGAGGCATTCAATAAAAGATATTCGACTGATCACAGAAAGGGGGTCTAGGGAAAACATGGACACTTGCAGTAGTCTAATCCCAGATATGGTATTAAATAGGCAATTAACAAATTGTAAGTGTGAAAACAGTGTGAGAGGCACTTCCAGGATTAGGGGGGAAAAGTGAGGGAGGGGAAACCAGATCGGGGCTCCCCAGTAAGGAAGAAAAAGAAGAGGGAGGCATCTCTGTCCTGGGTAGGATGCTGGAAGACATGGGAGTGGAGTCACTGGGTTGTGGCTAACTCACTGAGGAAGGCATCTGTGTATTGTGCCAGGGCCTCCAAGTTGCAGTACACACTTCCTCCGTATTGTCCAGCTTGGCCATGAGGTCTTCCATGTCCCCAAGTTCATTGACTTTTGTAAACTATAGAGCTTTTTGTCGGCAGGTTGACATCTCTCCAGTGGAGAGGGATGCATGCTTTAGCAGCATTCAAGAGTTGTATAGTAAGGGAATGCTTATACTTTTTAGTAGGTCTCTCTGTCAGGTGCAGCAGGCAAGCCGCAGGGTCATTGTGTAGGTCAACCGCAGTAAGTTGCTTAATGATAGCGATCACTGCCAGGAAAGAAAATAAAGCTAAAACCCTCAGTTTGGTACCAATTGACAAGTGGCAAAAAAGTTTTATAGTATAGCTGCAGTGTTTCTTTTCTCACAGTTCCACACTGTATAATGCACAAAAACACTTCAAAATGACATCTCCACATTCCCAGAACCTTCTCCCATCCCATTATCCCCAAATATTCCAAAAATATTTCAAATACAGAATTGAGGTATATATTAGGTAGACATTGGCTAGCCTCAGCACAGCACATAGGTAGTAGTTGGTAAGGTTGAAAAAAACACACCATTCCATCCACTTCAACTTGATTGTGTCTGTGTGTGTGTTTATGTCACTACCATTTTCAGTATCCCTGCAGATTGTGTTTCACATCCTTACCAATGTAACAGTAAAGAATCCAGGATAACACCCTGGAGGAGGGGTGAAACGTGTCAACGTATTTCCGGATCCGGGGGATTCGTAGTGACGTCACATCCGGTGAGTGGAGCGCATGTTGGTTTGCGGCACTCCGCAGTCACTTCCTACTTTCCTTCAGGGGATATTGATTTTATGTCACCTACTGCCAGTCCACTTCAAAAAGAAGGAATTTATATTTAGTTGTGTCGTGAGCCTCAGAAGCTTATTTATATAGAAGCGTGAACGCAATTTATACCATGTGAGTGCATTAACTACTTGCCGACCGCAGATAGCCGAATGACGGCTGCACTGCGGCCAGCCAGTTCTGGGTGGATGTCAAATGACGTCCACCCAGAACGCGCTCTCCTGCACGCCCCCGGGGGCGCGCACCCGGCGATCTCCGTGATCGCTGTGTCCTACGGACACAGCTGATCACGTGACGTGGTAAAAGGCCAATCACAGCGTCCTTTTACCACGTGATCAGCCGTGTCCAATGACACGCTGATCACCGGGAAATGCAAATGCCGGTTCTCGGCTGCACTTTCCTCACGCTTTCAGATCGTGAGGAAAGTACTGCCAAAAACCGGCAGTTGTCAGAGAGGGGATCGGCACCGATCATCAGGGTCACTGATCATTAGAGCCCTGATGATCGGTGCCCAGCAGTGCCACACACAAGTTCCGCCCACCTGTGCCCAGCAGTGTGCCCACCTGTGCCCAGCAATGCACCCACCTGTGCCCAGCAGTGCGCCCACCTGTGCTCAGCAGTGCGCCCACCTGTGCCACCCAGTGTCACCACCTGTGCCCAGAAGTGCCACCTACCTGTGCCCAGTAGTGCCACCCACCTGTGCCCACCCACCTGTGCCCACCAGTGCCACCCACCAGTGCCCATCAGTGCAGCCCAGCAGTGCTGCCAGTCAGTGCCCAGCGTTGTGTCCAGTCAGTGCCCAGCAGTGCCGCCAGTCAGTGCCCAGCAGTGATGTCTGCCAGTGCCACCTATCAGTACCCATTATCAGTGTCGCCTATCAGTGCCACCTATCCGTGACACCTCATTAGTGCTGCCTATCAGTGCCGCCTATCCGTGCCACCTCAGTGCCGCCTATCAGTGCCGCCTATCAGTGCCCTTCAGTGCTGCCTATCAGTGCCCATCAGTGCCGCCTGTCAGTGCCCATCAGTACTGCCTCATCAACGCACGTCAGTGAAGGAGAAAAATTACCTGTTTGAAAAATTTTATAATAGAAACAAAGAAACTTTTTTTTTTTTTTTCAAATTTTTTTGCAATGTTTTTGCTTATAGCACAAAAAGTAAAGTGCCCAGCAGCAATTAAATACCACCAAAAGAAAGCTCTATTTGTGAGAAAAAAATGATAAAAATTTCATATGGGTACAATCTTGCATGACCGCGCAATTGTCAATCAAAGTGCGACAGCACTGAAAGCTGAAAATTGGCCTGGTAAATAAGGGGGTATAAGTAATAAAGAGTTTATACAGTATTGCACTATTTGTGTTCTTTATTTGTTTTTCATTGCCACCTAAACGTGGGGATCGCTTTTTGAGGCTATCAAGCACACATTTATCTGGAAAGGATGCACCCCATCTTTATAGCTTGTTTGACTCTTTAGCCATACCAGCAAAGAGTCCACCCCATCTGGTGAGTGGGGATTGGATTGTCAATCCCGGATGGTGTGAGCACTTCTTGAAGATTTTGTTGACCACTATTTCTGGGATTGGAGCACACTTATAATGTTGGGACTTTCTTTTTGGACTTTTTTGCACATATGATTTTTTATGTAATTGTTTTATATAATAATATATATTTTTGTGCTGTGGAGTGTTTACATCAAAAATGCAGCCCTGTACAGAAAGTTATACATTCTCTCTGAGTGTTTATGCAATGTTTCTAGCATTTTTTTCTGGGATTTGTGCCATCTCCCTTTGTGTGTTCCAGGGTCTCCTCACAGCCTGTGAGTCCTGGACTATATATTTCTTTTGGGGAGCACCTTTCTAGGTGAGGACTGATAGGAGGTTTTTTTTTTTTTTTCTGTGAAAAGGGTTTCGTGGGTTTTATGTTTTCCACAATTCTTATATTTTTAATTATTCATTGAATAATTATCTGGTTACCTGTTTTTTTTCCTGAATAGTATCTTGTGGTAATCATGTCACCACAGATGTCACGGACAGAAGTTTTTTTTGATTTTTGATTGGAGATACACTCATATATTGAATTGTATTTCTTTTGCATATATCACTTTGTATACTCAGATTACTTTTCTTAAAGAAATGTTTGTATGATTGTGGATTTGAAGACAATTGCTGCACGTCCCAGCAGTGGCTTAGCATGGGTTGTCAGCGCCCAGGGCTGTCATGGAAATTATGTATTGTTGGTCGAACTTTAAATGTGTCATATATTCGTGTTATTCATATGTCTCTCGTGTGGCTTAATTAAAGCTCTGAAGGCTGCAATTGGGCCATGCGCATGTACAATGTATGTATTACAGTACTCAGCTTGGTAATGGATGAGATGGCAGATCTGCGCTTATAGACCGGCGTGTATACCACCACGGCATTCGATGCGAATGTCGCTGGCAGTAGACCGCGGGCCTGTATCCACATATCAGCAGCATAGTACCACATGGGCTTCATAACGCAAGGCGCCAAGCGGTGTGAACTCCACGTGTAGGCTTATGCATATCTTACAACCCATTACTAATCTGAACTGTATCTGGATGGATGTGTTTTAATAAAGATCGTATCGGGCCCATCCAGGTACAGACTGACAGACAGGGAATGCTTGTACAAAGAATTTACATACCAATAGAAGCTAGTAGGACAGGAAATATGACCTCAGATGGCTCATGGGGGGGAAGGGGAGGAAGTCTGCTGACCTCAGAAGACTCATGGGGGAGGACCAGTGATAGATAATAGGAAAGGCTATGCTCCAATTGGAATGTACATCCTGTGTATAGGCACTCCCCATTGCATTGTTCGGTGGGAGGGGATTGACTTTATTCATGTGGGGGGCATGTGTGTATTTTTAATAAAACAGAGAGCTGAGTCTGAAACCAGGCCTTATGTGAATTCAACCATCATCCTGAGAGTGTCGTGTGATCATTCTAGGGTAACGGAGCTCCACCCCCACATCTCAATAGAGCTAAAGTATTTGGATGGGCAGGAATCGTGTAATTTAGCTGCAGTCGTGGTAAGCGAGATTCGCACAGCTTTATGGGGGATTTCTGCGCATCAAACTGCGAGTACTCACGGTAAGGAGAAATTCGTTAAAGCGAATTTCCAAGACAGTTTGGCGAGCCTGGTGGATACTAACGCGTATTCTTGCATAGCTAACCAAGCACGAGGGGGAATAGCCATCATGAACTAGCAAAAAGTATGCCGGCACATTTCAGGTCTCTCTGCCATTAAGAGGATTGCTTTTTGCGTGTTCGTGTGGCTGATTTCGTTCTCTGTTAGCTAACAAGAATTACCGCTTAGCAAGGACCTAGTTTTTTTTTTGTCCTAAACTCTTGATTTGTGGGTGAAAGACAAGGGTTTGTCTCTGCGGAGAGCAGCAGAGGGGTGGGTTTGGTTGGCTAATTTTTGGTTGGAAGATTTTTAAACTTGACCAAATCCAAACGGGTATATGTTTTAGCGGGTAAAAGTTGTTGCATAGTGTTAGGTAAGTATTTGTGGGTTGTAGGTACTGTGGTGATTGCTCTACCCCCCTCCACGTGAGGTAATTATCACAGTGCTGAAAGGTTTAGGTTAATTGTTAACTGTTGTAAGATCTCTGTGTGTATGTAGTCTGTGCAATGTTTTGTGGTACTACTGCTCCCAGCAAGCATGCAGCAGGGGGTCCTTTCTGTTACATGTGCATGTTAGTGTGATATGTTGGTGTTTTATGTCTGTTCTGTGATCGTGCCAAATTGTGTTGTATGTGTGCTGTATATTGTTGTGTAATTGTCCAGTGTATGTTCTGTCCAAAAGTCTGTTTTATGTAAGAGGTT